TGGAGAAGAGGCAGCTTGGAGATGCCTGACCCTCGTGGCAGCCTCAATCCACTTGAGAGAAAAATTTCTGCTTGCACAGCCAAGCCTGGAGATTTTTCTATGGCTATAAAAGGAGTCTGGTATGTGGGAAGGTTGATGCTCTGTGCCTGTTTTCTAAGACTTAAGTGACTCGCTTTTCTGGGATGTGGGTGGCAAGTAACCTTAGAGTCTGCAATTATGAATGGACACATAAAGAATCCAATTACCTATTAACGTTGCTTGGCATTTGTAGCCATAAATGGACGATCTCATCCACTGTAACTACTTTCTTCCAATACYGTTAGAGATCATCTCTCTAAGTCTAGGTTGAAGTTATTAAATATACATTACAGACAAAGAGGCACTAACTATCGAGCTGGTAGTTATATTATCCATTTCTAGACATTATRTACAATCTATATGTAAATTATTACTAATGCAAAATCTGAGAACTGTAGAACATTTACTGGAGTTCCCTTGCTTGGGAAAGAAGCCAAATAAGTGCTCATAATATCATACTGTTAGCAGAGCTGGGCAGGAAATTATTTCCTATCCTATAGTTTTTTGAGAGATCAAAAATTGTCTCATTCTGCATTGGAATGAAGCCAGGAGCGCTCAAAGTGAGAAACCAGAAAGAACCACCCTTTGCCCCTTCCTGAACTGGCTAATGACCCGGTAGCCAAAGCTCTTGCTGTGGTTAAAGCCTTCCATCTGAGCCAGGCAGTGCAGGCTCTTGAGTAGATTTCATCTTCTACACCTCATGCAAATGCCTTAATTCCATGCAAGATGGAGACTTTTTTCCCCTATATTCTCTTACTCAGATCAGAAAYTCCATTCCTAGTACTTGTATTCCTGTAAAGGTTTGATTTTAATGAAATTGCCTGTTCTCATGAAAGAAAAAGAAACAAACCAACAAAAATGTTTTGGCAGAAACATGGCCGTGCAAGCAGAAATTCATCTCTTAAGTGAACTGAGTTTGCTACTAGACTAGTATTTGCTACTGGATATTAAAAAGCTGTGTTTGATTTTTAGAACAACAAAAACAGGGTGAAATTCATTATACCTAATTACAGTCAGTAGCTAACATAAACAACTAGCATTTTCTCTGTTTAGATTGAAAATAAAAAAGTCCATACAGTTGGTACAAATCAAAATAYTAAAAAAAAAATAAAATTATATTAAGAAAAAAAAAATCACAACAGAAGAATTATCCTAGAAAAAAAATATCCTATTTGCCTTTTGCTACTCGAACACATCCTTAAATGAGACAAAGGATACTTGTCAGCCCTGTCAAAAATGAAATAAAATCTTTATGGTACAATAAGTTTGTCGAAGAACAACAAATGTACCTCTGGCCTTACTTGGTATTTTTCTGATACCGTATTTATAGTCTATTTAYAGGATAATTTATAATTTTTAGTAAGGGTTTTCTTTTTCTAGTCTAAGTATATTTACTTCAGTTAGGGACTTAATAAGGCAGGAACCTTCTTCAGGTTGGCATGTTTGTAGCTAGTGACTTATTGGCTGAGATTAAACAGAAATAGATTAAAGAATTAGCTCTGTTACCTCCGACACAATTTCTGAACTGCACCCAGCAAAGTACTTGAAGGCCTCMGAGCTCTGTACCCCAGCCCCACGTTCTGGGCTGGGGCTCCTGAAGCGCACGGCTCGGTAAGGCAGGACAGAGCCCAGGTGCTCAAGCGCACTGAGCAAGACGGGGACAGCTGCCTGCATCTATCTCATCAGAAACACTGAAAAATTTCCCTCAGACTTACACAAATTACATAAACTTGCTAGAAAATATCTCCATCTATTTGGGAAACAGAATCAATATCTGCCTCCTATCCTAATTATTTCAAAAAAAAACAAAGTATAGTGAAGTACAGTGAAGAACTGCATGTATGCTTACCTGGAAAGAACATAAGAAGAGGACTGTAAAATTTACAACTTTTGATTTAGGATCTCCAGTTTCACTTTAGGGATTTGTTTTGTTTTCTTTGTTTTTTTTTCGATCTATCCCAAGCTATTCAACATTCTACATTACGTTCCTATGTTTTACTCAAATGAATACAAAGAAAAAAAAAAAGGAAAATGTTATCCCTTTATTAATCTGAAATTTTTTTWAAAAAATAAATTGGTGTATTAAGCCACTTTGAGGAGAGACAGACTCTTATATTTATATTACACTTAAGATTATATTTACAGAAAAATCTTAAAAGCACACAGCATCATTAGTCATAACATATGAAGCAGAGTAAACTATGCAACTAGAGGAATGTAGCTGGAACCTAGTTTGATGTATTTGTTTTAAATTTTAAACAAAAGAACTGTTTATTAAACAACAGCTTTCCCAGAAACAGTTTTTAAGCATTGCTAAGTCATTATGATATCATCCTTTCCCTCATTCAAGGATGGAATTATGAATCATCTACATTATCTACATATCTAATGATTGGAGATGTATAGTTAATCCAAATGCAATCATCATTACAGTATCTGGGTGCAAGTAAAATTGTAAAAGCAGCAAGACAATCTGATAGATAGTGCACACTCCCAGAAGTATATATGGTAGATATGGTAGAATTATTAGCTTTTTCCCATCCTCTGTCTGTTGGCTCAAAGGATCTTATTGTGAGAAAGTTAAGGCTGGGAGATGTCTTGCTTTTTGTTCAAAAAACTCTCAGTTTTCTTTTTTCTTTTTTTAATGAAAAAAAAGGTATTTGGTATTTTCAAGCCAGTTATGAGAAAGCCCAGTTCTGTGTCCTGGCAATTCAGAACTTGAGAACCCTTAAGGGAAGCGCTGCACAAGCTCACATTTACAGAACACAAAATTATTTCTGCAGTCAGCAAGTCCAGGCTAATGAAAGTTGCAGAAAGTAGAGAAAAGAATTAGAATCTGAAAATGGATTCTTTACTGAGCTTTACTGAACTAGATCCCAGAGGAAGTATATTCTACCAACAATCTGCCTGTTTGCAAAAATGGAGGTCTCTGCATTTTAGATTACATATATTAATTTGCAGGCTTCATAGGTCATAGACAGAAAGGCTACTAAAAGCTTATTATGCTTTGTCACTTTAGTAAGACATCTTTCTACAAATTTGAAAGACGTACAAATCACAAGCATAATATCTCCAACTCAAGAGTTTCAAGAAAATTACAAATGAATGAAATTATTATAAAGCTAGGAGTGTCACAACTTAATAGGAGAAATATCTTCATTAAAAGAATATATGGCTATTACTGCCAAGCAAATAAAAGCAAGTAAAATATGATTAAACCATACATGATTTTATTTTATTTAGCTTTCTAAAATGTAAAGAGGCTTATATACCCATTCCTATATGAAAGTTACATGGCAAGAACTACAGTACTTTCATTTCTCTGCTTACCATAGCCAAAGATATCTAGTAGGCCATTGTAATGACAAAGTCTACTGGCATTTTTCATTACTGCATTAAACACTCATTCGTTTTTACAGTTCATTCGCTGAATAGGCATAATATCCTGACTGATCTCCTTTGATCTCAGTCTGAGAGGAAGCTGTGCTTGTAAATGGTATTCCGGCTATACTGGTCTCAGGTGTATCCACATTTGAAGCATCCTCTTGCCTTTCACATCCAAAACCGGCACAAAGAAACAACTTAACCAAAAGAAACAGCATGCAAACACACAAATACATAAATAAATACAATAAAAACAGCACAGCACAACAAAGAGCCCTTTTCTGAAAAGAAAGATAATGAACACCTCAGTGTCTCCTGAGGCTGTAGTCTGGCTTCTCTCATTTCCTGTAATGCTATGAATTGAAATCCTCATCCTCTCTTTTGCTTTTTTGTAGTTGTTGTTTTGGTTTGGTTTTGAACTCCTTCACTACTTTGGTCTGTTCTATAGATTCATCGGCAGGAGCAGCTGGCCTGTGCTGTCCCCCATGATGCTGTTACAAAACTTGGAGCAGAAAAGTCCATCAAAAGTTCATTTTTATTTCAAAAGGCTGGGCATCCAAAAGCTGCTATGACAGAAGACATGAAGGAACAAACAGATTTAGCCTCATTTTCTTGTTGCTGCAATTATCTATGAACAAGTGATGACAACAAAACATCAGACGTTGAAGTAAAGAYACATTTGGTTTCCTGAGAAGAAACCGAGTAACCTGCAGCTTACTTAGGAAAAAAATAGTATGTGTATGAAAGGAGTATGAGCTATTTCAGATAAGTGACAGAATAACAAATTATTCTTGAGCACTGCCTGGGGTACCTATAAGGTCTGGACAGACATGCCTTTCAGAGATCAGAAGAAACAGAAGAAAATGTGTGATATTAAAGTATTAAATCAAATATCATAGACCACTGTAGGTTCATTATGGTTGGAAAAGGCCATCCAAGATCATCAAGCCCAGCCTGTCTCCACCCTGCCTGCTAAACCGGSTCCCTAAGCGCCCCATCCCCAGGCTTCCCGGACACGGCCAGGGATGGAGACTCCAGCACCTCCCCGGGCAGCCTGTGCCAGCGCTTGTCGGCTCTTCCCAGGTAGGGATTTTTCCTGACATCTYGATATTTATCCTAACGAGTTTATTAAGCGCAGGTGCGCCCATGCTGCCCGGCCAGACCCCAAGCACGGGGCGGCCCGGAAGCACGCGGGGCTGGGGCCACGCTCCAGCCGCGGGGAGGCACCGAGTGCCGCTGGCGGCGGCCCCGCGCTGCTCCCCTCCCCGCCAGCCGCAGGCGGAGCGCCCCGGCTCGGGACACGGCCCCGCTCCACAACCGGCGCCCCGCTCCACAACCGCCGCTCCCGCCGCCCGCTCCGCGACGCCGCCCCGCCCGCGGGCGGCCCCGCCGCGCCGCGCCGCGCCCCGTCCCGCCACGCGCCGGGGCGGGCGGGGCGGCGCCGCGGCCGCTCATTGGCCGCGCGCCCGCGGCCCGCGGGCGGGGATTGGCTGCCGAGCTGCCTTTGTTCGGCTGCAGCCACTGCTGCAGGGCAGCGGAAGTTTGAGCGCGGCGGCAGCGGCGGCGCTGCYCGCGGGCGTGGAAACGCTCCGCAGCGCTCCGCAACGCTCCGCAACGGCGCGAGCCCGGCGGCGGCGGCGGCACCATGGACCTGGAGAGCAAAGTGAAGAAGGTAACGTCGGCCGCGCCGCCTCCGCCGCYGCCCGGGCGGAGCGGGCGCCGTTCCCGCCGCGGAGCCGCGTTTGCCGGGGCTCCGGGGAAGCCCGGGGAAAGGGCCCGCCCGGGTGTGCGGCCCCGGCGCTAACAGGTAGCCACAGCGCCGAGGAGGGGCCGCAGGTTGCCGCAGGAAATGCGTCTGCTGCTCCCGTGCCCTCCCCCGTTATAGAAGCTTAGCGGCTCTCTTGCTTTTCTATTTTTTTTTTTTTCTAAACCCATTATTTTTTCTTAATGGCACCTTGGCTAGTGGGTAGGTATAATTAAATGCATTTTTTCCACTCTTTTTCTTCTTTCTCCTGTGCGTCTTCATGTCCCTGTGTGCTTTACCCGCCTCTGAGCTAAAGTGGAGCCCAGCGCAGGAGCGGTGCTGCAGCTTGGCAGGCTGTGGGGCACCGCCGGGGCCAGCAGCGAGCTCCCACTTGTGTTTTTTGATGATGTCCCCGCTTGTGGTGGTGGATGAGAGCTGTGGTCTGGAGAATCCACATCCCTCATGCATCCCAGGACAGCAGGGTACAGGCTGCTGGAGCCGGGCACACGGGCTGCTCGCACCTCCYGCAGTCCAGCTGCTTGAATCACCTTGCTGAATGTCCTCAAGCCCCTTCTAAACCTTAAACCTGACAGCAACAAGGTGCCTTTTCCAGGAAAGTTGCTTGAGCTCCAGGAGCTGAGATGCGTGTTCTTGAAAGCTATGGCATTCCTCCAGCTAAAGTGAGAATAGATGGAAACCTGATACAGATCTGCTGATAGCAGAGCCTTGGCTTGAGTGAACTTGTCATCACTGGACATCTGCTTCAAATTGTGCAGTAATTACTGGAAAGTTGTATGTGCCGAAACAAGTAGTTTGTGTCACTTATTCTGTTTGGTTCTACCCTTTGTGAGGAGTATTAATACAGCTAAGAAKTGTTCATGGTATGAAAAGCTGCACCATTTTTCTATCCATTTATTTCCAGTATGTGCTTTTAGAACTCTTTACTCTTCTTTTTCTCTTCTTGTACACATCTCTTGTCACTTTCTGTCACTTTTTAACTTGGGTAAACCTCAGTCTGCATTAGGCGTCGACCTGTGATGAGTCAGTGAAAGGGAAACTGGAAGGTCTTTCTGTGTAACCACATACTCTGCACTGAAGCTTTTCCTTTAATTTTTGGTATTTAAGCAAAAAGTCTTTCATGCTTTTTTGTTGCAGTCATAACCCTCATTAACTGTACGAAAACTGTATGACTTCACCCTCCATGCTTTAACTCCCATTCTCTTAACCCATTTATTTCTACCGTTCTCCTCCTGCCTTTTTTTGGCAAACTTCTTCCCTTCTTGAAAGCTGGGAAGTTCTTCTGGCAAGTCTCCGTTGTACCTGCTCTGCTGCTCTGAGTCTTTCTGGCTGTATTTCTGGCTGTATTTCTTCATTTTTTGGCATCTGTTCTTGATCAGTGACAGAAACAGGATAATGATCTGGCATGGTTCAGCTATCCATAATAAGGTGAGCATGTGTGTTCTATGCATAAGCACTTAAATCTACAATAGAGTAAGTACCAGTTAAGCTTATCAAAGTCCATAATCTATTCACTCTTTGAGGGGAAGTTGGTCTTAAAAGGGTGCTGGGCCTGTCAGATAAGGTCTGGGTTTAAATCCCTCAGCAGTAGTGGGCGACTTGAGCACACGTRGAGATGCTGCCCAGCCTGTCCTACACCTGTGGCACAAATAGGCTTGACTTGCTGCWCTTGCACAGAAGCTGCTTGCTACCTTGTGCTGAGCCTTTTATTATTATTAATAATAATGATGCTAATATTATGACTAGAAACTATTTACAGTGTGGCAGGAAGGAATGAGCAGCTGGATGCCCTTGTCGTTAGCCACTTCCAAGAAGCTTGTGAGGAGCAGAGGGGAAGGAAGAACCACAGCATTGCCCCCARCATGTTGCAGTGCCCTTGTTCTTGGAGACCTGGTGCAGTATGTAAAGCTCTGCGCTTACGGGTAGCAGAAGGTGCYGCACTGGGTGCAGCCCTTCAATTTGGGAAAGCCCCAGGGAAAGGGGTGCCCTGGGCACAGGGTGTGGGACAAACACCCAGCTGATAACCGGCCAGTGGTTTCCTCCCCTGCCCGTRGTGTCTCATGTGTAGCTGCATAGAGCAGCACAGCAAGGCCGCTGTTCCCTGCTTCTGGAAGACTAAAGATTTTCCAAGGTGACGTTTCTAAGATTATCTTCTTCCAAGCATCCGTAGTCCTTGAATCTCTTGTTCCTCRGCTGTGTGCATATGCGCTGTCTCCTTGGAAAGACGCTGCTTGCTTTGTAGGGGCTATTATGCAGGAGAAAACATTCACAGTATTGTAAATAATGGGTTTATATCTATGCTTCTCTAAGAAGAGAAGAGAACAATTCAGAACTGGCTCAGGAAAATCTGTGTGCAGTGTTCACATCAGTGCTTATTTTTTTTAAGCCTTTTTTATTTCTTTTCTCCTTCCCTCCCCCACATAGTTATTTTCTAGCTCACTTTAACAGTGGCACTGCCCAAGTGTCACTAATTGCTGAGGGCTGAAACAACCTTTGGCAGGAAGAAGGGCTGCTCCACCCTCCCAGCGCTGCTTCAGCCTCCTTTTGAGCAGTAAATAGCTGGGGTTACTGTTGTCTTGGGAGAGATGAGCAGCAGCCCTGTATTGCACAGCTTTCTTCAGAGCCTGGCTGTAAGGAATGCTAATTTCAGCCCAGGCTTTTAATGTAACTGCCTTTGTTTCATTTCTTAGTGCTGCAAAACTCGTCTTGCCATCTCGGCAAGTAGCCGACTCAGCAAGTCTGCCTTAGAGCCACATTTGTCTCCTGTCTGGGGTTCTGGACCACCACAGTGGTCAGGAATTGCACACATCTCAACGTGAATTTTCAGCACTGAGAATATCTGCTGAGTATGTTCTTTCAAAATCACAAACATGTGTAAGGGGCTGAGGTCACCTTGCTCTTTAGAGACACAAAATAMCAATTCTCTCAGTAAATAGTGTAAAAACAGAGTTGCAAAGTACTCAGYATCCTCTAGTTCACATCTAATTGCTATGCTAACTATTTAAAGGAGAGAGGAGTATAACATTAAGTGCATATTTTTTTTTAAAGGAAAAAAAGGTAAAAAGCAGAGGAATTGGATTTCACTGCTGTATTTAAGGATCGTGGGGACTGCTTTGCAGACGCAAAGCAGTTCCACAGCTGAACTCAAGGCTGAGAACAGCCCTAACRTGAAGAGTGCCTGTTCAGCAAACAGACCTCCGTTTCTTCTGAATACAATATGCACAATGTTCTTGAACCTCACTTGGTGGCCGTAGGAAAGCTGAGGGCTTAATGCTTCATTAAATATCCTGTTAGGGGAAAAAAAAAGTTCTGCTAATCTGTGTTTTTGCTCTGTCTGTYGCCCCAGTGAACTTTATAGCATGAATCACTAGGTCATGGTCATGCTCTGTAATCCTGCTTGCGGTAGGGTCTTGTGCTTTATTAGGGAGAGCAAGGATCTGACAGCAAGTACTGCTGTTCTGTTAAAAACTTCCATGGGATAGTATTGGCTTTATAAAAGCAGCATTGTGGTAATGGTAGAAAACAGGGATAGGAGTTTGGGGGGAAGAGAAGGTGAAGGTCTGCTCTTTAATGAGTAATGGCTGTGCAGTTTTCCTATGCTCATGACTGTGTATTGAGTTTGTTTCTTCATGGTGGAAAGCCAAATACAGATAGCACTGCAGACATCGTTAATTCAGAGAACTGTAAGGCTCTTTAGTGATAAAAGAAAGTTGAGTAAGAATATATATAGGAGCAAATTCAATGGTATGTGTATTTTGCAAAGTATGATCTCATATCGGTTGGGCTGAGCTTCCTGTTGATGTCAGTGTTTGCTTTGGTGTTGCTGCCATGGAGACCTATGATAGTAGAAAGCTCTTTCATTGCTCTTTGTGTGTAATAAGATTAAGGAAATGTAGAGAGAGATTCATGGGTGAGTTCTGCCTGCAAAGAAAGGTAAGAGTAAGGTGTGGAGGTGAGAGTTTATCTGACACAGAAATAAAGTAAACTTACTGCCCCCTCCATACACACCTAAAACTAAAAAACAAATGAAAATGTAGTACTGACGTGACTTGTCTTCCAAAATACCTGAATGATAGACCAAAAAAAAAAATAGTAGGGTGTATGTTGCTGGATATTAGCTTGGCACAGGCTGTGGGACTAAATTACATTTTTTTTCATTTGATTCTCTGATTCCCCAGGTGGTTGGTCATAAAATATTATGAAGAGGCTGGACAGCAAGCCAAGAAACTAGCTGGACTGTGATTTCAAAGATCAGATGAACACTGATATGGCATAATTATAAGCCAAGTATTTCCTGGTGAGCTGAAAAGTTTGCTTTAAGCAACAGGGTTCTGTGGTAGTGGCAAAAAGCTCTGTTTGTGCCGACGTTGCTAGAGAGAGAAATTACATTTACTGCTTGATAAAATAACAAAAAAAGTTAGTATAAAAATTACAAGCCAAGTTTTATAGGTGAAAGTTGATAAAACCACATTTCTTTTTCCTCAGAGGTACTCAACATGTTTTTCCACTTAATGGTTGTTCCTGAGTTTTTTACAAGCCCTAGCACAGGGAGGGGTTAGGGTTAAAACATGTCACGCATATCGCAAAATTTATTTTAAAGGTATGTATTTTACATATGTGTTTATGCACACATAGATGCCTCACATTTTTGCAAGCTTTGCCGTAATATGAAGGTCTGTATAGGTCTTGGAGATGAGCAAGGCTGTGCTAGGGAAGGGTTGTCATGCCCGATAGTTCTGTCTCGGACTTGGTCCAGTGTCACGGACTAAGGACCCTTCTGTCATGGCAATTTCACATAACATTAACTGTGCTCTGGCTGCTGCTGTGAGGGTGTTTCTGGTGGTCTGTTATGTCTGCCTGACTCTTCCCCCTGTGCCTTGCTTTCAGCTYGTCTAACTGAAACTTTTTAG